TCACTGCTTCTCATGGCTGGTTTTTTATTATTTATTTTTTTTTAGCAGCTCATCAGGATCCCCAGCACCTCCAGCTCCAGGGATCTCCTCGTGCCCAGACTGACTCCGAGGAAAGGCTGCCACCTGCTGAGCCAAGTCCACAGCTCCTCCAGCAGCTTGAAACTCCACAGCTGGAAGACGTTTTCTGTGTATTTTTTTGTTGGGGTTGGCTTGGAGGGGGGTTGGAACGAGGAGGTTGAGTCCTCTTTTTTTTTTTTTTTTTTTTTTTTTTTTTTACCTTAAATTAATAATAGAGACTAATGACTAATTATTCCACTCACTAAGGAAGCACTGAGAATTCAACAGATAGGAGCTGATTAACTAAGGTCCCTAAATTACTTTGAACATCTCAGTCAGACTACTCATTGCAACACGAGGTCTTCAAAGAATGACCACAGAGGCAGATGGGTTTTACCAAAGCCCTAGCAGAGACCATGCTGTGGCTGCAGACACAAAGAACTAATGGTGTGTGTTCTAACTTAATATCACCATGCATCTGAGGAAACAAAAAAGCCACATTGCAGCAGATCCCTTCAATGTACATGAGGCCATGTGGCTACTGTGGTTAGGCTGTGAACACCTCCACAACTCAGAATTCACAGAATTTTTTTGAGTTGAAAGGGACCTCAAAGATCATCAAGTTCCAACTCCCCAGCATGGGCAGGGACACCTTCCACTAGATCCGGCTGCTCAGAGCCCCATCCAACCTGCCCTTGAACACCTCCAGGGATGGAGCCCCCACAACATCTCTGGGCAGCCTGTTCCAGTGGAAGCATATAGCAGCCTTCTAGTATCTGATGGGGCTACAGGAAAGCTGGGGAGGGACTTTTTACAAGGGCTTTTAGTGAGAGGACAAGAGGTAATGGACTCAGTCCAGAAGAAGGGAGATTTAGGTTAGACATTAGGAAGAAATTCTTCACTATGAGGGTGGTGAGATGCTGGAACAGGTTGCCCAGAAAAGTTGTGGAAGCCCCATGCCTGAAGTATCCAAGGGCAGGTTGGATGGGGCTCTGAGCTACCTGATCTACTGGGAAATGTCCCTGCCCATGCAGGGGAGTTAGAACTAGATGATCTTTAAGGTCCCTTCCAAACTAAACCATTCTATGATTCTATGAAATCCACTGTCCTGACAGGTTCAACAGCACAGATACACTAAGTAGCATCACCCAATCCCTCTTTAATTAAAGAAACACACGTTCACAATCTGTCATTCTGATTCCTCAGTGCAAAAAAACTAAGACTCGTATTGTAAGACTAAATGAAACAAAAATAATGCACACAAATGTTCTGCCCATAGAATACCTCCAACCTAAATGATTCCAAGCTTTTGAACTCAATGATCGTAAAACAATATCATCATCATTAATATCCAGCTCCTTTCACACACCTGGATGGAGAAGAACTTCTGCAGGTGGTCAAAGGGGTTCCTTACCGAGCTGCAGTGGCATTCCAAGTTTCCACCCAAGTGAAGGGCTCTGGAGGACTAAACCTCCTCTCTGCAAGGGGAGGTGCAGCATAGGGGATCCCCAGGAACTGGCTGATATTTTTCCACTGTGAACCAATGTGGATCACCTTGGATTTGCCCATCAGATCTCCATGGGATGGGATGTGCACAGATGGGGTTAAATCCGATCCAGAAATGGGCAGGAATAAATCTACCGAGGAGGGAACACAGGAAAAATAATTTGCTTTTTTCAGGTTAATACTACTGCAGAAATGTAAATCAATCCAATTTCCCTTAATTTTAAGCTATTAAATGTCTAATTCACTTCTTTAAATGAAACAGACAATTTTGTGTTATTCTTTCCTTGTAAAGTACTTCATGCTAGGCTAGATGTTAGGTACTGGATACAAACATTTAACTTTCCAAATGCTTACTTCACAAACCCTTATTCAAACATTTCTTCCAGATCAGCCACCACATTAGAACATATATTTTAGCATTTCTATAAAAAGAGAAAGAGCTTTTCAGACTTTCCCCTCTCCCATGACTCTAAAAAGCACAAAGTTAAGATCTGAACATTTATAGCAAGTCAGAGGAGGAAAGATAACCACAGAGGTCATTGCTTTGGGCTCTCATCTGGAAGGATTTGCACTTCAGACTCCTTTCAGTGACTGTTTCATCACACAAGACAGAAGAGCTTCAACAGAAGGCAACAAACACAATCCATGTCCAAATTCCCCACGGTCCCATGCAGGATTGCTGCTCCTGACATGGGAATCAACAAGTGCAGGTGCTCACTCTGAGACAGGCACACATATGCCTTGTACCTGGCAGAGAAGGGAATGTGAGACTTTCATTGCTATCTCTTGCCTTACTCTCTGTTGTGAATACTGCCACAATTTCTTCCACTTATGCCAGTATCTCAATTATAAATCAAACATAATATCTGACGCTATTTTTTTTTGCTTGCAGGAAATTAAGAAATATTAGGTTATTACACTTTGAGCTGTTTTTTTTCTTTCTTTTTATATAAGGACTAACTGAAACATTAGCCATCAACCCACAGAAGAGATTTTTCAACTATGCCTTACTTTAAAACAGAGCTAAGTGATACCTGCTACTACTCTACTAGAACAAATTATTTAATAGGCAGGAATCAAATTTTAAATCAAGTGACTAAAACCAAAACTGTACATAAATTTACAAATACTAGATTTCAGCGTCAGTCTGTGATTTTACTTCAGTAGATAACGATAAACCCCTTTTCCTCTCATCAAGTTGGAACCCAGAAGCTTCTCATTGATTGTCAGTTCTTCACAGAAACCTCAGTGAGCAGAAAAGGAAATATTTCTTTCCTCCCCCCCTTATCATTACCTAAAAGTTTCTAAATACTTCTAATAAAAGGAAGAATCAATATTACACCAAAGGAAAGCAGTATCTTCCAAAAATCAAGGAAAAAGCCAACAAAAACTTAGAGTTCAAAGTAAGTACATAGCCAAACAACATAATTTTTACCTCTCCACACAACTTTGATGTCTCTAATCAATAATTTTCACTACTTTAAAAATATTAGTTAATCTTGGTTTGGGTGGATTTTTTTTGTTTCTTTCAGAGATGGTCCTTAACATTTTCAAGTGACAGTCAGTCTTCAACACATCTTATGTCATTCTCTGTTTCGAAGGCAGCACATATAGAAAGAACTACTGCAGATGAAAAGGACTGAGCTGGACTTTTCTCACTGTTCTGTCTATTTGTTTTTAACATTATGCATTTTGCAAAATATCTTTTACAGAACAAACTTCCTTTATTATACCTGCTTCAATAGTAGATAGTAACACTATGATTCTGTGACTTATTATGAAAAAATATTTTGAGACATTTTCCCATCCTGCTTGGCTGGAACTCCACTGAAACAGCAATGGACAATTGTCCAGGAGACATCCATGCTGCTTTAGGCCTACTGAGGACTTCCTCTCACCCATTAATGAGGACTGTGCACAGGCCACAAGAGTTGAGTTCCTTCCACCACAGCCTTAACCTGCTCTTACCTTGTCTCCTATAGATATAGGTGGCTGGCTCTTTGAGTAAAACCCAGCAGCTGTGCCCTTGCAGCCCGTGTGAGCACATCTGTGTGTCAGGATAGAAAAGGCATCTTATTGCTGAAGGCTGGATTTCCAGGGTAACCACTGTACATGATTGGTTCTTTGAACAAGCTGTAAAGTGAAGCATGAAGATAAAGAGCAGGTAAAAATGCATTCCCAAAGTATTTTGTATCACATAGCTACAAGATGCTTAAAAGAAAGGTTTTGCAATAGGTCAAGCAACATGGATTCTGCTCTGAAGCAAAATAACAGGACTTAAATGATCCCAAATTCCCAGAACATTCTCCAAAATAGCCGAAGGATAAAAGGTTATATTTGCTTTAAAATGGAGTAATACAGCAAGACAAATGGTATCACAGCTCTTAGAAGAAGAAAAGCATCTTCTAATAAAGTTCTGAGGACCTCAGCTGAATTCAAACAGTCCCCAGGGAGCCCTAGGAGGAGGTTTCAGAATAAGAAAATTGATGCTCTCACTTGTCCCAGTTTGTCCTCAGAGGTGAGCATCCAACACTTTTCCTTTTGAAAGGCTCCTTCAAACAGTTGTGGGAGAAGGAAAGGGTGAGGACTACCTACTGCAGTAAATGGGACCAGTCCAAGGGCTCTCTTCTGCTATAAGTGGGAGCAATAACTTGACTTTTACTTGTTTCTATCACTCTGTGGCATTTGAGGTTTTGCCAGTCATGTGAAGTTAAAGGATTCTCTGCTCTCTAGTCAAGCTCTTGATTAAACCAGTTCCTTTTGTTGCTACTGCAGCCCAAAGTCTGCCTCATCCCAGCTCTCAGTCACCTTGCCTTCATGCACCACAGCTACAGGTTACTTTAGACAATGGTAGGAGGCTTTACCATCTGTCTGATTTGATGAACATCCCTTGACTGCTCTTTAGAAAATAATTACATTATCCCTTTAATTATTTGCTACAGTATTCTCCAAATTGAACAGTGGCTGGACAAGCAAGAGGTCTCTGAGACCAAGAGATGTTAAAATTATCTAATCACCCTATGACACTTTGTATGCATTGTTTCTTTAATCATATAAATTATTTAAGGTCCTCTTAATCCTAGACACTAGGGTAGTCTTTAAAAATACATAAAATCTATGTTTCCATGTAAGAATGAGAGGAGAGAGGGAGAGAGGAAGAGAGGGGAGAAACTGTTCTTGGTGTTTCAGTCACACAGGCCAGTATTTTCCATAAAGATATGGAAAACTTACCAGATAGACAGAAGTCTCTGGCAGTGGAAAAGTCATTGGATATATCTCTACTAACTTGCACAACTTCAAAGTTAGAGATGGACGAATCCATAAGAACAGAGGACGCATGTAGGAGTTGCCATATGTCGGAAGACTCTGTAGAATGAAGCACACAGAAATAAAACTAGATAATCATAGAATCATAGTGGTTGGAAAGGACCTCTGGAGATCATCCAGTCCAACCTCCCTACCAGAGCAGGACACAAAATAAATTAAAAAAATGTAAAAACTTCAGAGGAAAAGAATACAGAGGTAAAAGCACTGAGGAGTTCCCCAGTGTAAGACTTGTGCCTTCCTGTACTTCAACAGGGAATAAATGAAAGAAAATATTCAAAGGTTTCTGATTGACCAGAGCATCCAGTCTCATCTTCAGAGGCCATGTACAACTAGGCTTACAAATGTACTGGTTAAAAAAGACATAAACCAAGAGCAGTTCAGCCCAGGTTTGCATGTAAATCCAACTGATTTAAATAAAAGTATTCTGAACAAGCCTAATTATAGTAAAGGACATGGGTCATAATCCTTGGCCATTAGTTCCGGAGCAGGAACATCCACTAACACCTTGGAAAGCAAGTGGGGAACCTGCATGTGACTAAGCACTCCCAGAACATCCAGCAGACATCCACATTTATACCTAAAGCAGAACTGGTTTCATCAGGTAGGTTTCACCTCAGTCATCTGCAAGGTATATGTCTACATCTGAGTTAATTACACCAGATTCCTTCTACTAGCAGAAGGAACAGACAGTTTTACCTTCAAGTATCTCCATCCTGCTTTAGATGTCTACTTTAGGATGAGACAAATCATCCCCAGGAAGCCACTGATTATATGTCCATGTTTTCTGTACAGGGAACCTCATGTGAGTAGTTGAAATGGAGATGTCTATGTTGCCTGGATATATCTACATGCGAAGGGTCAGTCCTCACCTTATAGACCAAGTGAAGATGAGACAATGGTTTTCGTAAGTACTACATTTTGTCTTCACTTCTCTTTCAAGAAATCAACCAAACTCCAACAGAAGTACATGCAATTTTCCCAGATTTACAGACTTATTTTAAAAGTCACTAGGATCATTTTGATAATTTTAATTTTATTTCTGACACAGAATTACATTAAGTTCTGTTAACTGTTCTAATGTCATGTAACTGCTACATAATTAAGATTTAATTCTATTTCATATCTATATATACATATACACAAGTATATCTAGGTATGTATATATATTCAAACATGAATATTCTCATATATACATGTACACATGCATATACATGTATAAGCATATATGTACATATACATACTGACTCTAGAATTCATGACAAATTATTTATCTGTCTCACAGTAGATTTTAAGAAAATGCCACAAACATTCTTTTCTCATGCACAAACAGATAAAAATATCTGCAGGCTCTTGGTTTTGCACACAGAGGACAAAACAGAAGGCTTGGGAAAGAATGGGTCTTTAATTATTTTAGTTCCTTTCAACAGTCCAATATGTTTTAAAAGGAAAAGGGCCCTACTGTGGTCACCAAGTTCTAAAAGGGAGGTTGATATTACCCTCTCCATGCAATTGTAGGCTGAGGACAGAGCTGAGTCAGCTGTCTCCTTGTAACTCCTGGTGAGCAGATCTTGCTCTGTTTCTTCATTTAAGTTACAACACAGATGCAAAGGTTGTGATCGTTCATTTCATTAAAGGTTTCTTTTAGTCTCCTGAGAACTGGGTAACTTGTAAAGATGGCAAAAGTTTCCTTCCTTCCTCTCCTCACAGAAAGGCAGCTGTGACCTTAACACTCAACATCTAATGTGATGCTGAGGTCCGGGGTTCATACAATCATGCCCTCACTGCAGCTTGGAATGCATAGGATGCCTTGGGTTGGAAGGGACCTTTAAAGGTCACCCAGACCAAAGCACCCGCAGTGAGCAGTGACGTCTTCAACTAGATCAGGTTGCTCAGAGCCCCGTCCAACCTGACCTTGAATGTTTCCAGGGATGGGGTTTCTACCACCTCCCTGAGCAACCTTTTCCTCTTTGTAAAAAAACTGCACCACCTTCTTTGTAAAAAAAAATTCTTCCATATCTAGTCTAAATCTCCCTTTTTTAAAATTAAAACCATTGCCCCCTGTCTTATCACAACAGAATCTGCTATAATCCTGGTGTTAACATACTTGACCAGCTGATGAAAATCAAGACCCAAACCAGACCACAGAATAGCCTAGTAGCATCATTCCTTAAGCAGGAAGCAAAAATGTTTAAATTAGACTTCAAAAAATATTTTATTATTCCAAATAGGAACTGCCACAACTTGGGTTGAATGCTGATGTTCAAGGTCTTTGCTTTGGCAAGGCAAACTCTTCCCAAGGAAGCATAAGCCTCAAGCATGGGTGATCTCCCAGAGGACAAGCTGAAATAAGCACTGTTCTAACACCATTGCCAAGGCTGTAACCTTAGTGCTATCTCCTTCACTCTCATACTTGCTGAAGAAAATGTCTGATGGATTCATGGAGTGATGAACCGACCTGCTGTACCCCACACACCTTCCCAAAAAGTCTAGGTGTGAAATAGGGAACAAAGTAGCATTGGGTTCCATGGATCCTTTTCAACCCCTTCAAAATCATCCCATTTCTGTTATATTTGGGGAAAACTTTTCCAAGAGTTGGAAGCTGAAAATCTCCAGCAAAATAGAAATGCAGGTCAATCTGATGTTGCACTGTCATGTTAAAGATCACAAGCTTACTTGGTGTTACAGAGTAGAAAGCTCAGCAGCAGCACTATATTCAGTGGGAGTCTGAACTAGTAAGGGAGGAATGACCCTGTAATCACAGCTTGACTTGTGCAACAGACCTACTGCCTTCAATTTTTATTCTTCCACTTAAGCAATGACTATTCAATTATTTTAGAGACACAGAGTGATTTTAGTCACTTGGAAATGACTACATTTCATATTGTCAATAGTTTATCTATTTTTAAACCATCTAATATGACCCATGTTCAAAAATTTCAAACTCTACATGTAGTGTGACAGTTTGTGGCACTTCTTCAGTGAGATACTTAAAAACAGAAATCAACTGTGTAAATTATGAGCAGTTAACCACTGCATCCTCTCCAGAGATTATCTGCCAGCCCAACTAGAACCCCTTGGTCTTACTTTTCCAGATTTTATTTTGTCAGTTTGTGGTTTTAATAATTTCTTAAATATTTTTTTAAACATAAACAAGAAAATATGTTTAAATCAATATATGTCTACATAAGAGCAATGTTGCCATCTTGTCCTGTGTACAGTACTAGTAACTGAGGTCCTAAAGGTGGAACAAGTAATCTCCCAAGGTTCAGACACAAGTCAAATTACTAGCTGTGGTTCTTTCAAAAAAGAGCCTTGTCTAGCATTGTAGGTCAAGTCTGGGTGCATCAGTAGTTTTGGAAGATATTTCACCAGACTGCCTCTGTTCCCATAACTTCCCTGACTCATCAAGTGACCTCGGGCAAGTCTCATAATCTTCATATGCCTTCGTTTGCCCACAGGTCAGACATTCAGAAACAATCTTGTTAAATTAAACTCTAAGCTTTCAGGAAAGAAATTCAAAACAATTCCACAAAGGCAAAATAAATTTCTTGAGTTTACACCTCTGACACTTGAATTTGACCTCCTTTATCTATTTCTCTGAGGTTTACCAGCTTATTGTTACTAAAATCTTTTGAAGTGCTCAAATTAAGCTTACATGTGCACACTGCCCTTACTAGGCACATGTAATGTGTTCCACATTTGGTCACAGGCTAAACTTCCTATTTCTGTATTAAAATATATTTTTTTTTTATTTTATCCCTTTACATGGAGGAGAAATAAGTTAATAACATTCATTTAAAATACATACAAAACACAATGGGCACTTTGCAGCACAGAAGGGTGACTACGCATGTTGCAAACACTCACGGATCATACATTCATACCTAAAATGCATTTTATTTTGCTTATTCTTTGACCCAAATCCCACCAAATTGACCTCTGGTACCTCCCGCTACCCACATCGAGTTGTTTTTTGGGATGGTTTGGAGTTTGTGGAGGTTGTTTTCATTCTAAGTCCTGGCTGAAACATTCATAATCTCACAAGATTCATATATTGAGACTTCCAGTGCTATCCCTTTCCTATTTTCTACCCAGCTGACCCCAGATGCAGAAACTCTAATGCTTATTTTAACAACAGAGCAAATCCCTTTAACCCAGAGCTGTCCATTGATGGTACCACTGTGGATACTGTCAGCCAGCAGAAGCTGCAAATGAGATTTTGGCTATTAGCAGTTTCAGGTCCAGCAATGCCCACAGCCACGTATACCTGCTTCATTCCATAGACAAACCAGAGCTTTCCAGGGCTGATCTAAACTTGCCTCACCCAGAAACCACTCTCAGAAGCACAAAGCTCCAAACTGGCTCTGCTTTACTGAAATGTATTGTGCACCTGATGGGCTGGAAGACATTTCTGGTTTATATATAAGTTAAGCTCAGACCTTCCAAACCACATTTTGGCAAAGGCTTGATTGGATAATTACAGCACTCTGAATCCAGCCCTGTAACTTTTATTGCAAAATTACAGATGTCCCATACAGAGAGCCTGTCGCTTCCAGATGTTCTTGTTTGGGTAGGCAAGGTTTAAGACTGGATTTGCTAAAGGACTTATGCTGGCCTTACCCTGTTCCCACTCAAATCATAGGATCACAAGACTGGAACAGATTTCCTGGGAACACAGAGTTCAGCCTCCCACTTTCACAGGCAATGACATTATAAAATCCTTTTCATAAAGTCAACAAAAGTTTCAGCACTGACTTCAGTGGACACAAAGTGGGTCTGAGTTTGCTGGAAAAACTGACATTTGATATAAGGAAGCAGATATACAGAAGTGCAATAAAACAACAAGTTACATTTAGAAGAAAACTCACGAAGTTGAGGAGGTACAGAAATCAGATGAGGTTAACATAAGGTTAAGGAGGTACGTAAATCAGGGTCTAGTATGCCTACTTCACATTGAAAGACAAATTCTGATCTTAATTTTGACATTTGTAAGCCACATTTAATAGCCAAAAACATGGGTGCAGACTGAACCCAGTGCT